GTAGCCGCGCGTGACGAGCGTCAGGTGCTCGTTCGGGAGCATGTCCGGGCCCGTGCCGGACCGCCGCGGGAGCATGCGGTACGTCTCGCGCAGGTCCAGGTCGAAGTCGACGGCGTCGTCGAGGTGCGCGAGCTCGGGGAGCGCGCCGTGCCTCGGCAGGTGCTTGTCCCGGAGCTGACCCAGGACGTCCGACCCGCGACGGCTAGGGGGCGGCCTCCGGCCGCCGCCTGGCTCGGTTCGCCGAGGTACCCCGCGAACCCCCCTGGCGAAAGCCACGCAAAACATGCGTATCGTAGGACCTACGGCCCCAAGGCAGTCGCCAAGGGCCTCTCGGACAAGGCGAAGCGCACCGTGTACATCGCGGAGACCTGCGCCTTCGCAATGCAAAAACACATAATAGAAATCAGGCGCGAAAGCCCCAGCGTCACATTTTCTTTCGAGCATCCCTCAGGCATCGTCCACACCAAGCCCTGGTTCCAAGATTTTATCGACTTGGGCCTTCGGCGCACGAAAGCGCGACCCGGCGTCCCTTCTCGAAACGCTCGAACCCGACAGCGACTCCCCCAGGTGTCTATGTGCAAGATGTGCGGCACCAAGCACAGCAAGACCTTCGAGCTCCTCACCGACCTCAGCCCCGCCGCCTGGCCCTACGACGACAAGTCCGAATGCCAGCCGAGCCGCCCCTGCAAAAGCCCCATGGAGGCCATCCAGGCCGGCAAGAACCGGCGCCACCCCGTCCGCCTGGGATGGGACGCCTGTGCCTGTTAACTTTGGGGGGCTCCGAACTGGGTCCTCTTCGACAAGAAGCCCAAGGAGCCCCAGGCCTGAGGATGGGCGACGCGAGCATGCGCTCAACTGCCTGTCGCCGCGCGGCCCGCCGGAGCGAGGGTCAGGGGGTCAGACGGCGGGCGTGCCGCCGGCAGCAGGGTCTAATGCCTTAACGACGGGCGCGGCTGCGGGCGTGGCGGGCCCGGCCGCGGCGCCCGACGCAGAGGCAACTGGAGGGGGGGACGAATCCTCCGGGGAGGAGTCCGCCCCGGCGTCCCCGGCAGCGACCGCGGCGCAACCAAGGATGTTGATAGCGGCTTCGCCGGGCATGGGCGAGGGAACTGACGTGCGGATTAAGCTGGCGAACGATGTGTTTGGCGTGGGGGTTGTCACCGGGCAGCGCAACTTTGATGGGACCTACCCGGTGGCAGGTCGGTTTGATGATGGGCAACGCGGCCCGGCGGCAAATTTGTTCCATCACGAGCAAGTCTATACAGTGGCCGAGTATGAGCGGGATTATGCTAGTCGGCGAGGTCAACTACCGGGCAGCGCGCCCGCGATGCCGCGGATAGCGACGCGGGACGCTCCGGCGGCCCGGGCGCCTGCTCGGTACGCCAGCGAAACGGTGCCTCCGGATTTCGGGTACGCTGAGGACGGTTTCGTGAGCAAAGTCTTTGGAGGCGCAGCGGAACGTGTGGACAAATGCTGGCCGCCCTTTTTGCTCCTAGCTCAAAGCGCGGCCAGGGATTATCTGGATCAGGACGTCCTGACGCTGGTGGCAGCTGTGGAACAGGCCCTCGAAGGGGCTGAGGGCGAGGGAGTTGTTTTGGCACCTCCGGTTTTCGGTCTCTTCGACGATGTGGAAAGCATGCTGCAGGTGCACATACTGCGGCTGGGAGCAGCCCTGAAGGATGTGGCTACAAGGAAGGCCAGGAATTCAGAGGATCGAGGATCCGAGCTCGCGTCAGCCTGGGTCTTTAGGGCTCAAGGTGATGGAAGAGCTATTGGGCGGGTCTCTGGCTCCGAAGGCCAAGGCGCTGTGCGCTGGCCTGGAGGACGCGGGTCGCACTATGGCGGTGGCGAAAACAGTGCTGGGCAAGCCGCCGGAGGACGACTTGGGCCGAGCTCTGCAGCGGGTGGCGCGGTCCACGGGCGCTTGCGACGTGGTTGCAAGAGGAACCAATGGCAATACGCTGGTCACCCTCCGAAAGGGCGCGGAGGACGGGATGGAGGAGCTGGCGCACAGGTCTGATTTCGGCAAGGTGCCGCCGAGCGCCGTGCGCGCGGGCCCAGCGTCTAAGAAAGGGGTGACTTTAAATTCAGTCCTGCGGACGGGGTCGATCGAGGGGCTGCATTACTACAGTGTCGCGTTGGTCTACAGCGAAGGGGGATACCGGGAGTGGTTCGGAATCTCGCGCGGCGGCGGCGGATCCGAAGCGGCCATGCGGGCCGCCGGAGGCGCAGAGCGCCCTGCGGGCAATTGTGCGTCACCCTAGCCGCCAGGGGGTTTAAAAAATCTTCAGTGTCCAGTACTTTGGAGGAGCTCGGCTTCGGTTTTCCTGGGAGTACGATTTAAATCCTAATGCTCCTGCGGTGCGCCTATACCGCCAATGGTCGCGCAAGTACGCGCCGCTTTAATCCCTTCCCGACGCCGGCGGCGTTT